GCTCTAGAGGGCGTGAAAAATTACCAGTTCCTCATTGACATTGTGCCAAACGCTCATGGAAAATGAAATTACGTATAGGCGTTACCTAAAAGGTGGAAATATAATCTGAGCTTTCTTGATCAGTTTCATTTTGCCATTTTGTATCATTTTTTATATTTGGTTATTCATTCTTGGTATCGTGTGATAAATTACCCTTGTCTAGATTTCTGTACTGAGAAAATGAAAAAAAAAACCTTTTACTGATTAACTTCTCGATCCCCGGAAGAGGTAAGTATTCTTAGCACGCCTATGGTCGGTCATGTTTCAGACATAGACAATTACGCTCATGCACGATCGTGTTACAAGAATGGTTTTCTGAGTAGGACAACGTTGATGGTCAGAAGCCATCATCGGCAGATGACAATTTACTTTCTTGGGGGGGTGGGGGTGGGAGAGAGGACAGCATAAATTTACGCTGGCAAGTCCAATGCCTTAGGAAGAATTGATTGTTGGGCAATGCGTCAGACCAATTGTAGGTCGACAATTGAAGTCATGCAGCCGTAACTTCGTTGCTCATTTTTGTTTCTATATTATTGTACTAGTGTTAAACGTAATTTATAATAAAGTTCGGATATAACGCGCGCTGTCATTGGTTGAAAGAGCGTGTTCTATGAGAGTATAGAGCATAGAACTGAGCTAAAGCTGTCACGCCATCTGCCAAATTGTACTAATTTACGTTATTAACACGTGAGCAGATATGAAAATCCTCAAAGGAAAAACAAAATAGACATTCGAGGTTTTAAAGATTGATTCACGCTCAGTTAGATTGCAAGCTTACGTACGGAAATAAAAATCAAACACAGCTAACACTCATATAGTATATAAAGTTCAGTGTTCAAAAACAAAACAGAACAAAACAGAAATGATGAAAAATATAACCAAACTGGCATAACTGTTAAAATTCATTCTAATCATGACGGTGTCTGAGCGAATATGATCATGCTGAAGTCCATTGCGGCTCGCTCATCATGGCGATCTCCGGTCATCACAGCAAGCCTCAGAAACTACATCGGCCGCCCTTCGAGTGAAAAAATAAGAGCTTGCTCTGATATCCTTTCCGATGCGTTGAGTGGAAAGTCACATCTGTCACTGCAGCCGAGTTTTGCGGCGCTGTCATCCCGAGCGATCTTCATGTTCCGGTGAATTCGGCTGTCGTTCATTCAAAAAACACTCGCCCTGAACAGTTTGTTTTCTACCTTGTCATGTGAAAGAACTCGCGTGTTTTTATGAGCCATAATTCGGCTGAAGTTCACTGAACATTTCACTTCAAGATTCTGTATTAGAGACTTAAAAACTTCAGGCAAAAGTGTTAAATTCGACCTGCCGAACTATTTAGTTTGTAAACTATCGCTTAAGGTGAACTTTGATGGTTTGACACTTTTGACAGCTTTAGTCTTGTACAGCCAATCAGATTATTTGAACCATTCTAACAGGGATTCTGATTGGCTTATTGTAGCGTGCTTTATGAGAGTGTAGAGCATGCTGACGCCACTGTTGTTCGCTTTGGAAATAAAGTTTGTTTTGAAAATTGAAAGTAGTGCTCGGGGAATTTAATGGATTCTTTATTATAAAACAAATAGAGAAGCCTTGGCTGTGCTCTGTTCTGTTATAAAGCACTTAGGAAGCGGCTAGAGTACTCAAGAAGTGGGGAGAAACACTCGACTACGTCTCGTGTTTCTCCCTACACTTCTTTCGTGCTCTAGCCGCTTCCTGCGAGCTTTATAACAGAACAGAGCACAGCCAAGGCTTCTCTATTTGTTAATTAAGGCCTAGTTCAAACGTCGATCATTACATGTACCGAACCTAACGTTTCTATTAAGTACATGTAAAGATCGACGTTTGAATCAATTAGGATCGGCAGATTTGTATTCGGATCGACAGTGCCGTTCTATCCGACTCGGCTAGTCGGCTAGTCGGATAGAACGGTAAAAGATCGGCATTGATTCATACGTCGTACTTTACATGTACCGAACTTAATGCATACATTATACATACGTTAAAATAATTATGTTTTACCCACAATTCAAGAAAGTTCGCTTACGTGCCATGCGCGAAAGCCTTCGAACCATTCAAACAATATGGCGGGAAAGGAGGAAGGCTCGTGCTCCTCTTGTTTTAAATTGATAATTGTTGCAAACATTTTCCCACCAGCCAGAATTTCTTTTCAGTCGACGACACGAACGAACTGGACGAGGAACTGTGATGTTCCTTTGGGAAATAAGCAATAATAGAAGGCAAGCCAAATTCAAAACTCGTCTTCTCCTGGCAGCAAGGTTGTTTAATGCTAACTGCATCTTGAGTCGCCTTTTTCTACCCTCCTTAATCGCATTTGCAAGAAAAACACGCTCTTCATTTCCACAAGTTGTGCTTCCCGCATTTTTTTCCGCCATTTTGGTAGGCATTAACCGCTGACTACCATGGAGTTATGTTCAGTTTTGCAATTAGGATCGACTAAATTCGGATCGACGTTTGAATCAACTGCCGCTCTTAATTATTCGAGTCGACCCAAATTGCAATTAGGTTCGGTACATGTAAAGATCGACGTTTGAACTAGGCCTAAGACTGGCCTATGAAGAGAGGAGTTGAAAAGAGAAATTTGCAGTTCATGACGATTCTGTTTACTGTCTGCGATCTGACGGCTTTAATCCAAAAGATTTTGCCAATTATTAGCAGTTTTGGCATTTACCGCTCATCTTATCAGGCTTAATAAAAGCTCTAACTTAGGCAGAAGCGATAAAAACAACTTACTTGAAAAGGGAAATAACGACTCGCAGGCAGTATGGCTTAATGGCAGATAAACTTCCTTACAATGCTCGAATTGCTGTCCTCAATTTCACTGGTCTTAGCCTGTCACAGTTCAGCGAATTTAGTTCCTTTTTATAGCAGTCAAAATTTGTTTTACCAAACGGAAAAAAGTGAAATATCTGTAACTAACCTCAACTCCGCTGAAAAATTTCCCCCAAACATCAAACTTTGTTCGCGCACGTTAGTACACTATCGCTGTGGAAGATTAATATATTCTAACCAAAGATCGCGTCTTCCTCGTCGAAACTGAGGAACTTTTCGGCCTTGGAGTAACCGAAAGTTTCAGCCTTTCCTTTCTATCTTCTAAAACTCTGAATTTTTCTTTATCTTTTCTGCGCGGGGAAGGCCTTGCCGTCCTTCTGCCGATTTTAAAGGCCATCTGAGGGGCCAATAAATTTATATTGATCCATTGTCAAATTAAAAACAAAAACGCTCTGAAGTTTGCAATAAACACAGCTGTGGAAAGTTATTTCTAGCAGCTGCGAGGAAGAGCCGGGACATTCGAACTCATCGAATATTTCTTTTTCTAGGTTTTTCTTCTGGAAAAAAACCTGTGAAAAAAACTCGGAATCTTAGGTTTTCTTATCAAATGCGGTTTCCCATTTTTGGAGATTTGGTTTTCCATGTTCAGACTAAGAACTTGGTTTCGTCCTCATTTCTTCGATTACTTTTGATATTTTCGATCGAATTTCATTCTCGGTTTTTGGTTTTGAGATAGATTTTAACCAGTTTTTCGAGTTTTGATGGGCTTCTTTTGACCATCCATTTCTCCCATCAGAAAGGACACCGGTAAGGACGTAGCAAAACAAAAGAACAAATGGGAAAAACGAAAGTTCAGCATATGCGTTTTTAAGACCGAGTACATTTCTTAGACATCCCCTCCAAAACATCAACGTGAAATCACCAAAATTTGCGTCCTCTACAAACTGAAACTGCGACGGCAAATAAGTTTAATTTTCATTTGAAACTAAAAGCTGAGTGACGCCGAAAGAGACGCCAACCACATGCAACCGTCTGCAAAATTCTAACTAAAAATAGAAATTCATTTTTTAATCGACGTTTTCCTCAGCGTTATCGTCCTGACTGCTTAAAATCGATGATGATTTTTCCAAATCGGTAAATATTAATTGACAGCTCAGAGCTGACTTACATTGTCGACATTCATCGATTTATGTTACTAAACTGGATTCTCTCGTTTTTATCGACTGCCCACCGTGGGAGAGTAACTAAGGAACCCTCCACTAATCTATCGCTCTGTAAACGACGTCGTTCACTTCCCTTAACCCCGCACAACCCTAAGTAATTTCTGACGCTCTTTTCACTTCGAAAAAAAGAGAAATTTCACTGAGTTTTTCAAGCAATTAATGTGTTCGCGATACCTCGAGTCACTACGACAGCGCCCATTTTTAAAACTTGTACTGGAGCGCGCAAGAACTGGAGCGAGGTCTGGAGCGAGGTCTGGAGCGAAGTCTGGAGCGAAGTCTGGAGCGAGTTTAAGAGATAATTCAAGTCATTCGCACAGTGAGAACTCCTTCAATATTTCTTAATTTTGCAAGTGTTACACCCAATGAAAGCCGGGAGGTGTAGAGTGCATTTATCCTAAAGTTCTTAACCGTAGTGATATTACAATATAAGTTGGTTTTATCAACCGAGTTCATAATGTAAATTTGTCACCGTAAGGATTTTCTAAAACCGACGTTTCGAGCACTAGCCTTCTGTCGCCCTGACGAAGGGCTAAAACTCGTAACATTAGCTTAAGAAACTCTCTACGAGGTCAACTCAATTGATAAAGCCAAATTAATCTTCCTTTTAATCGTTTTCAATCAACCGTGTGGAGAGACAAGACAAGATATTCTTTCTGCATACGAAACACAGATCTCGCGGAAATAACATTAAGTCACTTTATGCTGATGAAAACGGGGATTAAGCAGTAGTAGTCTAGTCGCTTTTGCCTCGAAGACTTTCCTGACAGCCCCAACTTCAGCCATTTACTTTTTCGTTTTAATTCTGAGCCCGATCTTTAATCAATCTCGGAGACTGGCTGCTCATTGAGCCGTGTCTTCGATCCTTTCAAGCCTTTGGGTGAGAGGGGAAGGGTTACTTCCCGATGAACATCTCTAATAGCCGAAGAATGTTTTCAAAAAGGACACAAGCACTTGTCTCTAGAGTTGTTATTTTTTATTTCACCGCTTGTCACAGGCGCAAATTTACAGACGTCGTCCACGGCGACCACCCTTTCTCCTTGTACTGTCTGAAGGTATTGGAGTAACATCCTCTGTTAAACAAAAACATATATACTTAAGTTTTGGACAACACGAGCCTTTTTAGAATTAGAAAAGGGGATAAAAAGGAAAATGCAGTGGGAGGTTTATGTTAACAGCATATTTTGGTAGCAAAGGGAAAAATACCTATATAAACTCTGGCAGGTTTGAGGTTTTATTACAACCCTGCTTTGGACCTCCACTCTAACATGTTATTTTTTTTTTTGCTGAAGAAAGGCATACACGGAAGTGTATAAGCGGAGTTTTTTTAAAGAAGAAGTTTGCAAAAGGGCACAGGTGAAACCACTTGGGCATATAGTAGTATGCAGCAACTACAACAAAAAAAAACCTCTTTTTTTTTTTCTTAAATGGGTATATCACCACAGGTCAAATAGACAATTGGGTCACATCTACACATACTTGCCATTGTGTTTAGACCAAATTTTCTAGTGTCACCACTCATGAATCAGGCATAAAAAGACAAATCTAGTCAACCCACTAGTAAGGAAATTATGGAGAACAGCAGTAAAAGTGCTTTGTATCTTACCAATACGTCCGATCTTCATTCCGGAACGAGCAAGAGCTCGCAGAGCAGACTGGGCACCGGGGCCAGGAGTCTTTGTTCTGAAATAGAAGCAAGAGTCATACATACATCATGGTTATTTATTATTTACTTATGGAGATTTACACAATGAAAAGGGGCAAAATAAATTTTTGTACAAAAGCTGGTCAAAGTATAGCTTTCATTTAAGTGTGAGGAAAATAATATGTTTAATCAGGAGCCACATTTCATGTTTTTCATGTATGAAACATATCAAGGTGATTCTAATTCCATTTAGACTGGCATCATTTAATTTTTCAGCTGTTCAGAATATTATCAATAATCTGCTATCTGGGCTAAGATGAAAAATACTCCTCTGTGGAACATAATGCAGAATACAAAGCAAGCAGAAGGAGGAAAAAAAGGAGAAAAGGATAAAACAAAGCAGTGAGCTTTGAAACTGTTCAAATAATTTTTGCAACAGGAGAAAACTGAAAATTTAGCATACATCTCAAAAAAGTTCATTTGCTTGGATCAACAAAAAGACAGAGAAGATTATGAACCCTCAAGTTGAAGATGCTTTGTTTCAAGCATAGTGAAGTATTTTGTTATTTTTCACTTGCTGTCAGTAGTGTTGCATTGTTTCTGATGAAAAGGCAATTTTTATGGTTAACATCTTTCAATTTATGAGATTTTACCTTGAATCTGCCAAACAATAAATTGTCATTAAACAAGAATTGAATCTCTGTATGTATATAATAAATACGATACACCATGGAAAGTCTGTCCGTATGGTATTTACGCACTTATCAGTTTGTATCAGAAATCTCACTTGTTAGCTGCACTCATTCATTCAATTTCCAATACTACCAACTTGTGTGTAAATACCATATAGATAGAGTTTCCATGAAACATTCTATAAATGACTTTCTTGGTTTCAAAATCCCCAAGGCATTATTTTCTTGTCCCAATGGGGACTGTTAAGAGATTTAGGTAAAGGCCAATATCAAAAGGCAAATATCCAAACTGCAAATACCATACTGCAAAATAATAGCTTGATATAACCTAGGAAACACACAAACCTGTTGCCTCCAGTTGCCCTAAGCTTAATGTGCAGAGCAGTAATACCAATCTCTTTGCACCTAGCAGCCACATCTTGCGCGGCCAACATTGCAGCATAAGGGGAAGCCTGAAACAGATGATATACATTGAGTAAATAAATCAGCCCAAGGGACTCAATTACTTTGACTGCCATGTAAGCAACATAAAAAAAGTGTTTAGTTACATGGAATAACAGATATAGAAATCCTAAATCTAGGACTCAAAAATTTCTGTAAGCAGATAGTTACCCTATGGCACTATATTTAAGCATAACTATGTCACTGTTTAAATAAAATTGCTCCATTGAAAAGGGTAACTATTCATTGAAAAAGAAATACAATAATAACAACAATCAGGAGAGAAGATTCTCCTTAACAAGAATCTTCACAAAAAAAAAATAAATAAAAAAAATACAGCACAAAAACACTACAGATTCTGAACAGATTCAGATTCTGAACAGCTGTATCATTGCAACATTTTTCAAGTGGTTTGAGTCCCAGATTTTAGATACTCACTTGTACAGAAGTACTCTTTAAGTACTCTTTTTGGCACAGATATATCGACACATGGAACAGTTTACCGTCATCAGTAGTTGAACTTGACTCAATGAATGCTTTTGAGAAAGCTCTTAAATCAACATTACTTAACAAGGCCTATAATTACAAAATTAAATTATTCTATGTATTGTACATCATTTAATTATAATTTAAAACAAAATTTTTATCTTAGATATCAAGGCTATGTTCTAGTGGCACCTGGTAGCCTCAGGTGACTAACATTTGGTCTCGGGTGACTGAAAAAAAAAAGGGGTCGCCTGTCTGGGCGCATAGATTTTGGCTCGTGTGAAAACCTGAAATGAAACCAGCAAACGTATAGAAACGGAATGGAACGAAACAAAAAGAAACTCCATCGTGCTCCCCAGCTCCCGTTAGCCCGAAAAGCAAGATGTTTATCAGCACCATATTTGGCGACTTACTCACAATTGTAATCATTCAATCAAAATTTGATGAAAACGAAACTTTAATATAAGAACCCTTTTGTTTCGAAACCTATTTTAGTGGTCTTCAAAGAAATTTTCTTAGCGGTTTTAACATGCATGATATCACAAGTTCACCAAAATAGAGTACGTGACTGCTAAATATAGTAACTCGCTTTGCCGCCTGTGCCCGGTGAAGTGAATATTAAATGAGAGAGATTAAAGATGAAACTGTTTGGCAATTCTGCAGATTCCCTGGAACTGTAAGAAGTATACAATGCTACTCTTTCAAACGTCATGGATTATTAATTAATCAATTAATTATTAATTAATTAATCAATTTGGGTGACCAACCTGGAAGGCTGGGCGACCTACTTGTCATGGTTAGGCACCCGAAGGGTGCCCTGGAAATTTTCCTAGAGCACAGCCTTGGATATGTCTTCTTTATTTAGATTTTATATTTATATAGATAAATGCCTGTTTGTAAAATGTTTCAGTGTATATATGTATATTGCATAGTATTAAATTTTTATATCTGGGGTATAGTTTACAATGAGGATTAAGTTCCTCCCTTCTATAACCCTTTTTTTTAATAATAATATGTTATATGTTATTATTTAAATAAAGTTGTTATATATATATATATATACATACAGAACATCTAACAAAATGTACCATGAATGAAGCAAGCTCAGAGCATGTTTCTTATCACTGGACATCAGCGTATATTAAAGACATCATTGCCTGCATTCAACTCACTAAGGTCATCTCGTCCAAAGTGTAAGATCTAACCTTCACTTTCAGGAGACAAGAATACAATGCAATACTTACCTCATCACGATCAGCCTTAACTTTCATTCCTCCTGTTACTCTAACAACTGTTTCTCTGATAAAAAACAATAACTATTTTAAACATCTACAATTTGCAAACTTAATAGAGTAAGGGGGTATATCATGATTTATTCAAAAGTATTGCCTGTGGGAAAAAAAAAAAAAAAACACCCTCATATAAGCTCATTTGCCGAGTCATGGAAATTAAACTTGAATGATGCTTCAGATTTTATATTCCTCCCTAGCTAAAGGCTCAGTGCTTGACCCTTTTTCTCCCAAAAGTGATTAACAAGTTATTTCTCCATATAATATCTATACATCATCCAGCAAACAGGTGATAAGAATATTCAAACTTAGTGGGTAGAAGTTGTTGTCTTGATCCAACATCACTAGTAACTAATTCACAAGGAAATATATAGCAGCTGGATGGGAGAATTAACAATCAGATCTTGGGAGTTAACCCTTTCACTCCCAAGATCTTATTAGTAATTCTCCTTACTATCTGCCATACAATTCTTATGACTTTGGTTCAGAGAATTTGGTATTGGATCAACTAGTAATCCCATGATTGACATTTTTCTCTATTCTCATCACCTACCTGCTTGATATTGTATTGATATTGTAAGGAGAAATTCTGTCTTGGTCACTTGTAGGAGTGAAAGGGTTACAGGTTAAACTAAGAAGGCCTCAAGTGAAGTCGTATTGAATTAATTTGACTGTAGCTTTATTATTCTGTTAGCTCTACTGAAATGCAAGCTTAGAGCCTTCTAATTATATCTGGTGATCAGCGTATTTCATAAACATCACCACCTGCCTCTCAGGTTGAATGTGTAAAACGAAGTGCGTCGATAAAACTATTTTTATAAGTTATTACTTGCATTTCAGATATCACCGATGTTCCTTCAACAATTCAAATGGAAGAGAAAAAATAACAACAACGATAAAATGGCAAAAAAGTCCCACAACAGGTTGGAAAGAAGAAACTTGATCAAACGGAAAAGACGACTCACTTTCCAGACAGATCAGTAATGTGCACGAAAGTATCGTTGAACGAAGCGAAGATGTGTGCAACAGCGAAGACATCTTCACCTTCACTGGCCTGAAATTCAAACGTTCAAAAAATTTAAGACTACAGAAATGGCTCAAAAAATTTATCCCAAACAAAATTCCAAGTGTTCTGGAACACTACATGTACCTGAGGACCAAGAGAGATGTTCTGTTCTCCACCTTGTTGTTTTTGACCCTTTCTTGGAGCCATACTATGGAAATCAAAAGAAAAATAACAGCATAGTGCTGTTCATGAATAATGAAGATATCATTTTATTATGTAATAGACACCGATGATTCAAAGTTTCGGGCGAGATTGAGAAGATTGTGACACAAATCTCCTAAGACAAACCTGTGTTGATCACAGAGAAATAGAAGAGGACGAGACCATGATGCGTTGCACTGAAGCAAACATACTGCGCATACTCTTTGAAGGGAATCCGCTGCATTGTGACAAACGAGGGAGTTTACAAAAATTCATAAGAGATTCACAGGTAGTATTGAGTTTTTACTTTCACTTTTAATTTACTATGCCTGATAATCGAGCAAGGTACGTAGCTACAGTTATACAAGCATTTATTCTTGGTGCTGTAACGTATTACGGTGTTAAATGGTTAATGGACGCCATGGATCCCACGAAAAAAAACCGCTTAGCTGCGCAAAAGCAGGTAATGATTGTTCACTTAAATGCCGGTAAATATCAGTGTTGTTATCGATTTTTCAAAGATTTATTCAAGGAACCCGGCGGTAGATATACTTTTGTTTTGAAGTGATGAAATGTGTGCTCGAATTAGTGTAAAATTTGTGACCGTAGCGTTTGATTCGGAATTTGTCTTTCATTTATTGATGGCAAGATTTCATGTCGATTGTATTATATTGGGAATAATTTCTAGCGAATTCATGCACGTGGGTTAGATTTCTAGCTTCTGGGAAACAGCGATCAGTTAAGTTTAGAAAATAACTTTACAACCACGTGTACTTTAAGGCCGGTCCTGATGAGCTCAGGCTTGTAATCTGCGGTGTGCACTATCATAAAGCACCATTTCCGCTCGCAGCAGAATGCTAACTCACATGACTCAACTCTCATAGACTTCATGGCCTTGGGTGGCTTGGTTAAGGTAATAAAATTGAGTTCTGACCAGTTTTCATGCCACCTTTTTCATTGAGCCCTCTGCTTGTCTTATCAGTAACCATCGTTTCAGGATCTCTGTCTCAGGAATGAGACAACATACCAGAGTTTGATTCACCTACTGGTGTAAGATCCCTCTACCTGACTCACTTGAGTCTATGTGTACTTATTAGCTCTCATCAATTGCCATCTTCCACAGTTATTTATCTTGACTTTTACTCTTAATGAGAATTTATATCATTATTGGGAGAATAATAATTTCAAGTCACCTCTTGTTGTGGCATAAAATATACTTCTGAAAGATTGAAGTGGATAACATGTGCAAAAGTTTTTTCTACTTTTTATGTGATATCTTGGAATAAAAAATTACAAAAAAATTATCCTCTCTCTATATAAGACAGTTGTTCATCACCAAGGTATACAGTCCATATTAAAATGTATCTCACATTGATGTGACATTTTGTATGGAGAGACCCTTTTCATGTGAAAAATGCAAATATGCTGCACTAAGACAAGGTACATGTACATTGTAGGTATATTTTGTAAATTTTCTCTTGACTTAAAAACTGTTTTCTTTCAGGCGCAAAAGCTCTTAAAGAAAATTGGTATTGAAGGGGTAAAGGTAATGTTAATCAATATCAACCTTGTACATGTATGACAAACTTTCACCTATTTTGCTACAAAATGGTAACATTGTCTGACAGGTTTGTTTCACCTTTTGTCACACAGTGTCTGTTTAGATACATTTTTGAGAACTTTTATAAAAAATGAACTTATTCTACAATTTTGAATTATATATTTTTGAGAGTTGTTATTATTATTTTTAATTGATGGTTTATATTTTCATGTCATGTTAAGTTGGTGTAAGTGATACTCTTGAAATCAGTGATAGACTTGTTACTGTGACAAAAAAATGTCCTTAGTTTTATAACCAGAGGTGATAACATCATTATTGCATTTCCTATTCGCTATAGTTAAGTGAATATGAACTCACAGTAGCAGCAGATATTGTGGATCCTTTAATTCTACCAATCACATGGAAGGACATTGGAGGTCTTCAAGAAACAATTGAGGAAATCAAGGTAAGAACAATGGTTTGGTGTTAGTGATTGGATGACCCTTTTCAGTATATTATTATTCTTGTACATGTTATCCTACTGGTTTAACCCTTTCATTTCTATTATTTGAAAGACAATGTCTTTCCTTGTCTTGCAATTCTTTTCTCTTAACTTTAGTCTAAGGAGTTGGAGTGGAATTAAACAATGCTATATATTTAAGTTCACATGGCAACCAAGTGGACAATAAAAAATGGTTTGATACTACTCTGGTTTAAAGATTTAATGAATGTAACCAAGAAGTTACAATTCCTAGACCCAATGTTTCGACACTCCTGTCTAGCATCTTCATCAGGGGTGATCTAAATGCTACAACAAGAGGTCTTTTTATACGCTCACTAATTAGCTGCCCCTTTTTCTGACAAGAGTAAATAGGCATTGGGAAGTAAGCCACCATCATCACAATTTAAAGGAGCACGAGCAGAGTTGATATGCCAGGCTTCCAAACAAAGGCGCTAGTGGTAATGCCGATTAGTGGTGATAATTTTAGACTTATTGCACCCAATTGTATGGTTGGTTAGACATGTGTGCTGCGATAAAGCTGAATTTTCTTTTTTGCAAAAGAAGACCGCTTTTTGATGCTCTTTCAAATGTGTACCAAACTGACATTTGGTCTGTCCCATATACTTGTTATCATAGTCATTGCACGGAATAGAATATATAGTGTTGGTTCATTTTTCTTTTGTGACAGGATCCTTAGGTTTGGCAAAAATATGCCCCAAAGTCTGAAAAGTTTTTTGAGCAACTTTAAGAAGTGTTGAAACATTGGGTCTTGTTACATTCTGTCGTTGTTATTCTTTCTTATCCTCAGCTTCCTGACTGAAAATGTCTTTAATATATTCTAGGAAGTATATGCTTAGTAACTACAGAAGTGAAAAGTTTAAGCAATATTGTAACCATTCTAATCAGTGATGTATTGTCAAATGACTTTTGCTATTGTCTTGTCTGAAATGGTTTCTTTTTGTTTCATTGCTTTCACTGCTTTCTTACAATCTTAATTAACTAATAACAATTTATTGTGTACACTCAAAAAAGGTTTTTTCAATCCTTCACCTGTTGTGTTATGTATCAATTTTATTTTCATACAGGAATCAGTTATTTTCCCAATACAACAAAGGGATATTTTCAAAAATTCTTCTCTTCTTAGTGCTCCTAAAGGTATGGAAAAGGAACTGTGTTAGTTTATAAAGTGTCTATGGAAAGTGATCTATTATTAGTTGTAAAATGAAAGCAATGATTTTCATGTAATTGTGTTTGTTAAGAAAAGTTTTTTTTCACCTTGTACTATTCAATGTAGGAAACTGTTTTGTAGACATTACATTTAAGGGAAACTCAAACTAAAGGGCGCTTTCTTCTCTCTTTGTGTAGGTGTTTTATTACATGGTCCTCCAGGATGTGGAAAAACAATGATAGCCAAGGCAACTGCAAAAGAAGCAGGTAAGACACTAAACTTTATTTCTAATTAATATATTGTGATTTAATTAAAAATGTCTGAATAACCTTGATTACAGAGTAATGTACTTGTCCATGCAGATGAGGTATTTTGAAAATGATTTTTATCAATTGAAAGTGAATTGTTTTGTTTCAATTTAGGTTGTCGATTTATCAACCTTCAAGTGTCCTCTTTGACTGACAAATGGTATGGAGAATCACAGAAACTCGCTGCCGCTGTCTTTTCACTGGTAAGGCAATTAGGTGTTTTTCCAATAAGACCATTCAAAAGAACAAGCTTAGTCTTGTAGAAAATTCTTGCCTCCAGTTCTTTCCTCTGTAAAAAGTGCCATCTTGGCTCACTGACCAAGCTGAAATTTACAATGCAGTAGAAGACAAAAATTTACCCTCTGATAATACTTGAGCCCAGTTGCTAGCTAAGTGAAGAGACGAGACCTCAAAGGGGTAATATTACCTTGCAGAGGTTGTTGTTCAAATATTTTATTCTTGCTTTTAAGGTTTTCAAACCAGAAAAATCTTATCATAAATTTCTCAACAAAAAATTAACCTGTGATGTTCATCCCCACTGAAAAGTATACATTTAAGCAACAGCTGACCCTTTTTTGTGTACGACTTGAAGAAATTGTATGGCATTTTTCAGTGTTCTCTCTTATTTTAAGCATGACTGGTAAGATAAATTTCAAACTGGTAGTCAAAAGGGCAATCCTTTTATCTGTTGAATTTTCAAGAATTTCAAGGAATTTTAGGTGATAATTACTGGTGGTTAGAGTCTCTACCAGTCAGTAAATTTTACTGATTACCGCCCAAAAAGGAGAACACTATTTTTATGGTCATCACATGATTATAAGGAAAATGTTTTGATTAATATATTCCATGGCTTTATTTGCAGGCTGTCAAACTACAACCTTGTATTATATTTATTGATGAGATAGGTATGATGTAAGAGATTTATATTAAAGAAAAGCTATGGAAGAGTACAGTCATGAGTTTCTCTTTGTATCACTAATGAAACTGAATTTCAGATTCTCTTGAGTAATAAACCCTTTCAGTCCCAAGATCTCACTAGTAATCCTCTTCACTGTCTGCCATATATTTCTTCTAATATCAGCTCTGAAAAATTAGTGTTTGATGTAGTGTATTGATTATACATGTACCTATCTTAATTATTGACAACAACCTTAGTATGGGTTCTAAGGTGAGCACTTTGTACTTAATTCAGTAAATGTACTACTCGCAGTAATCCTACTGTACTGGAAATACCTGCATGCTGTAAAATTACTATAAGTCAGTAAACTCTTATACTTGTATATGTGTAATGTGTTTGTCAGTAAAGTTTAGTTAGCCTTTGGCAATGAAGAAGGAATAGTCTCTCTATGTCTGAATGACGACACTACATTTGATTAATGAATAACCCCCTTTGGGGAGCCAAAGAGTGGCAGCTTGGAGCAATGTCTGTTCTCTTCTTGGTGCATGGAAACTTAATTGTTGCCTCTAATTTGGCCATAATTTGATTTTTTTAACAGACTCCTTTCTTAGGATGCGTGACAAGAGTGATCACGAGGCCACAGCAATGATGAAGGCACAGTTTATGAGCCTGTGGGATGGTAATCTTAAGCTCACCATGTTATTCCCAATCTAATTAGAATTGTTTCTCTAAACTTCTCATCTACTTCTTATCTTGCTCAAATGATTTTATCTTATGGGTTGTGGTTGTTTAAGCTGAAAGTAAATTTTAGGTTAGAGTGAGTTGATCCCAGTTTGCTTAGTATTTTGTTTGTTTAGGGATTATTTGTACAAATCTCTGACAAAGGAAATACAAATTGGATTAAAGTAAGTTAAATTTGACCTGAAATCAATTAAATTATATTACAATATAGTTGATAATAATCATGATGATATGAGTGGTTTGATGATGAAGCATTTGTAAGGTGTGAAGTAAACATTCTGATTGTGCATGTTGGCCATAATGTTTTTACTACCTGCTGCTGCTCTTAATTAGTTTACGAAGACCAGATGTAGTCACATGTGGCTAAGTATTTGTTAACACATTTTATCCTTGGTCTGAATAATTTTTCATGTATGAGGAGGTTTGATTTTAATCAAATTTGGGTGTTTTACAGGACTGATGACTGATTCAACCTCTCAAGTTATCGTCATGGGTGCAACTAACAGACCTCAAGATGTTGATAAAGCCATTTTGAGAAGGATGCCGTGTTCTTTTCGTGTTGGATTGCCAGTAAGTAGGATTAAGCTGGAGTTTTACATATGTTTCATTTTGTCTGAGTACATTTATGCATTGCTGTTCAAATTTTCATTAGAAATTAATTTAAGGAGCAAATCTGTCAGTCATTCACTGTTACTGTACTTTCATAAGCAGAATTTGAATATTGTCTTTAAGTTAAAAACTTTTACTTATGACACTTGTTCTCTTAGGATGCAGAACAGAGGAAAGATATATTAAAGATTATTCTCAAGAAAGAAAAGGTAATCTTATCTGGTGGACTTGTATTTTAAGTGCTGGTAACATCTTGCGAACAATTTGATTGGACATACTTGTAGCTTAGATCAAGAGGTTTAGATCAATATCTTCCATCACTTTCTCTTCCCAAAGTTCTTCTGGGTCACTTAAGTTTTTGGTGAAGCATTTGTTTGGCTGAATGTAGCTATTGGAAGATAGAAGAATATGAAAGGCGAAAAGCTGAGTCATGGGAATTTCCTTATGCCATGTGTACAATCATGAACTTTTATTCCTATCTATCATACATGAAGAACTTTCTTTAGTTACATTATTCATTGTTAATTTTTCAGCTTAAGGATGATGTGGATTATGACGAATTAGCCTTACTAACGGAAGGATACTCTGGAAGTGGCTTGAAAGAAATATGTAAGTTCTACAGTTAGTATTAGAGAGGAAATTGATTGGTTTGCCTTATTCAAGAGAGGGAGATATGGCCTTAGTCTGCAAGAATGAAGAGGAGATGTTTTTAGAAACTGGAAATTTAGATAGATGTTATATTCTTCAGCTTGAGGGAGAATGGTAGGTCCTAAACATGACTGAGGGTGAGGCATTAGAGGTGGGGAGAAGAAATAAGATAGCAGTGTCGGAAGCAAAGAAGCTCTTATATGCACTATGTATGTGGCTAAGACCTATGGTCTCACGTCTCACGCAGATCTTGTCAACTGGCTCCTCTTGTAATGCTCCTAAATTAAACAATACACCTTACCTTTTCTCTGTCACCCCTGCTCTCCTCCCCAACCCCATTATAGACTTGCCCACTGGGGGATAGTCAAGTGTTTGTAGGGTTGATTTGCACTACTTTATGGTTATTTACAAAAATGACTGACAGAAGAACAAGGTACTCCCTTTGGTCTTTTGGTGTGTTAAGATAAGTGTGTGAGCACAGAGGTGATGTTTTAGATTCATGAAAATTTTTAATAACATTTAACAAAAGCAATGGTGTGCTTTTTCTGTGTTTACATAGCCTCACTTACACACTTAGGGTTTTAGGAAAATTCTCAAAGATTATACAAGCCTGAGGCTTAGATCAAGGTTTGTGGAACGGTTTCTAATTTTTCCACCAAATCTCCCTCTTGTGTTTGAATGAGGCTATGGAAACACAGAAATAGTCCTCTATTCACTAAATATTGACAAATGAGTTAAAATTCATTAAATTGTATTTTTTTTTTAGGCCGAGTTGCCGCTATGTCTTGTGTAAGAGATTATGTGAAACAAAAGAACGACCCCCAATCGTCGTAAGTCATGTGTTTTGTTTGTACATTGTAGTTTCATTTTTTTTGGCTCAGTTTTTTTTAAAATGGAAAATGTCGGTATTAAAATTGGAAAGAATATCATGAGTACCAACCTTGTCTGTGTTACCAATTGCCGACACACAAAGGCAAATAGGATTAAAAACAGGTGATTATAATATAACCACCTGTTTTTAAAGTATTATTTTCTATCTCTAGAATGTTCTAATTGTGGAAGGCACAGATTGAATGATTTTTCAGTTCTAGGTACCTTTCTACTCTGGTTTACACTCAGATTTAAAATAACCCATGATCATTCTGTTGTTGTAGTTATAATTTTTTTATTACTATTTTTACCGCAGGGACAGCGTACGGAATGAAAATGGCCAACCACATCTTCGGCCAATCAAAATGGGTGATCTTTTAGTTGCCATTGAAAAATGCAAACCAAGTGCAACTTTGCAGAGCTGACCACAGCTTCCTTCCTCATTTAGCTGTTAGGAAAAAAATGGCCACATTGAAGAAAAAGCCGGTCGTGGGGCACAGAAAAGAGGACTGTGCAAGTCTTAGCAGAGAAAATAATATTTTGTTGAGGAATATTGTCAATTCCGAATTTGGAAAGGATGCAACAAGTATCTTGAACTTACGCTGTCTATACAGCATAGATCTCTTTTTTTTTTTTTTTTTTGCTCAACCAAAGCCAGGCATGTTAAGGAGTTTGTAAAGTTTGAGTTGAAGAATTTTGTCGATTCCTTATGCGAAAAGTGTATAAAATCTATTCTGAACTTTCGCTGTCTGTGTAACAAAGATCTCGGGTTTTTTTTATAACAAAAGTCGGTCCAGGGGTTCCAACGAATTTTGCAAGTTGCAGTTGTAGAATTTTTATGCGAAAAGCATCCACAAACTATTCTGACCTTTCGCTGTCTACCTGCAAACTTATCGTTGTTGTTGGTGTTTTTCTATTTGTTTGTTGTTTTTTTTAAATGAGAACTATAAGCTCCGTCCTGTTCGTCCGTGATTAATTTTGTTCGGGCATTTCCAAGGAGGCCTGAGTTTCGAATCCCCTTCAATGCTTTAAAGTGCAAACGTTAGGTTAAGTTTACCACATGTAAACCGCAAGAACTAACTGAAAGGCCTGTAAGAACTCCGTGTGGGCGGAAGAACATTGCTCATGTGCATTGTTACACGTGCCTTTCACGCACTTTCGAAATTTTTGTGAAATAAATGTGTTGAATCGCACGAAGATTAGATTTGTCCTTTAAATGTGCTTAGATGATAATTTTCACTGAAGTAATTATAATCTAATTTTTAAACTATAGAAATACGAAATCTGCTGTTATCTAAACATTTCTACAATAAAAGACGAGGCATTGGGCTTATTTAGTTCCCTGTATTGGATGTTAAGTCAAAGCAATTTGATAACGTTCAGGTGTCCAGTTGGCAACCGGGAGACACGGGAATCAGAATGGTCGTAGTGCAGGTGAAAAAGAAGGTTACGGAGAAACTTTTCTCGTTTCCGCTTAGCGATGGGCTGCAATTATCACCTTAAAGTTTCAAATAAATACCGTACAAGAAACTGATGACGAGGAATTGATTTTTGAGGCACAGACAAAATTAACTTGCAACTGCAAAAGTCTGAACATCACAGCAATACGGTGAAACGTGCGTGAGCAGACTTGATGTTTGTGGGCTCCCTAAGAAAAGTGAGAGAACCCTGAGAGCGAGGTTCTTCCTCAGATCCCCGTGGGTACCCGGGGATGGGCAACAGATCTGGAAAGCACCAAGCCAGAAAGAGGATTGCCAGCTGAAATATGTCTCCTTGTTGATGGTGACTTCGGAATTAGAACCCGGTCTGCGGAGCGGGTTTTTTTAAGGCTTTCTACAAACTAACGTCGTCGATCGATCTATGGCGCTTTCCATGTCATGTAGATTCAGTGTACACTAAAATTTAAGGTATTTAGTTGAGAGTATGCACCAAAAATTAAAACATTTGTTGAGAACAGCGAAGGCGCAAACTGTACACAAGTCAGGAGCAAGCATAGACGCGACGATGTATGATTACGTTTTCTTAATTTTTAAGTCATGTTCAAACTTGCCCCGTTTCCCACTATTCTTTGTCACCGTGCTTCCCGCGAAAAATACCCCGTGATAGATCACGTGCTATCGTGAACCAATCACTTACCAATAATTGAATTTCCCGCACTTTCTTTCATTCAAGACCTTGGCGCGTAATTCATAATTCGTCTTCGATCGTCGTGTGTTCAGGTAAGGTACATGTTATGTACTCATTTGTGTTCTCCGATAAAGAAAACTTGTCAATAATGCTAACGATTACCCATGGAAAAGCTTGTTTAAGTATTCGCGATTTTTCACCGGATCATGATTGCTATAGGGTGATTTAAGTTTGCTTGATATGCGTATCGACGCTAGAGTCTGCGATAACTGCTTAAGCGGCCATGTTGTTCTCGAACTAAGAAATCGTCTTAATTTTCGATTTCATTCGCGATCATTCAATTATTTACAGTATGTGAAGATTTGGAGGATAGAGGAAAACGGAATAAGTCAAAGACGATAGGTTAAGTTTGGAATTCGAACCACATTGTGTCAAACAGCGGGCATTTTACTGCTTCTTCGAGTTTGTAGGCGATATTTTCACAAACATTCGCCTAGTAGCTTTCCAAGGCAAGCTTTCGTTTGATTACAATTAAGATCAATTTAAGACATCCTCTCCAAGGTTTTGCTAACGCATCTAAAATATTCACTTCAAATCGAGCGCGGGAATAATGGCTACCTTTCCCGCCATTTTAATGGGTCGAATTCGAACCCTCGATGGGTTAAAGAATGTTAAGCATAGAACTTTCGATTGATGGCAGAAATATCGTGAGGAGTCATCGTCGTAGCAATTTAAACTTATTCATTTATTTATTTTATTGTAGAGGATTTAATTTTTTTCATGGCTCAAGCATAATTAAGCTTCGAATTTGCTAAATTTTGGATCAAGTGAATGATAAAACACACTTAATGCAACTTGATAGCAATGTAGATTGGCAAATAGGGTGGAAGATTTATGTGTCAAGTAAAATCGTTCAACTGGCAGTCTTCAACTTGATGTGTTGAAATATAACTGCCTGGGCTCATCACTGTCACCACTAGCATCTTGTGATCATAAACGTAGATAAATAATTACAGAATGTAAAATTTAAAGTTCTGTCTTCACTTAAAGTTTCTATAATAACTGGATTTCCAGGGTTAGTTTACAAGATGAGGGAAACAAGAATTTGTCAGATGGTCAGTCTAATCATGCATTCTATTGTTTCAGACTTCAATCATTCTTCTACACATTAACTTCTGTCATCGTCTGTCTGCAAAATGTTTGAGGCTAAACTTAGTCAAGGAAACGTCTTCAAAAAGGTTCTTGAAGCCATCAAAGATTTGGTTCCAAATGCAAATTGGGAATGTTCAAGTAGTGGCATTAATGTTCAAGCCATGGACAGTAGTCACGTCAGTTTAGTTTCAATATCATTAGAAGCTGATGGATTTGAGCCATATAGGTGTGATAGAAATGTCATTCTTGGAATGGAAACTGCTAATCTTTCCAAAATACTGAAGTGTGCTAGTAATGATGACAGCATCACAATTAAAGCTGAAGAAGGAGGTGACATGGTGACATTTCAGTTTGATAGCCAAAGTAAGTACTATTTAAAAATTTCAATGCCCTGAGCTCAATTTTACCCAAACCTGGCAACCAAAAATTTTTAAGTGGTCTTCAGAAGAAAAATATTTGTTAAATCTCCCTACCTCCCTTCCTGTAGGAAAGAAAGACACCCTTTGATTAGCAAACTTGCTCATCAAAGCTGGCAATTGTTACAAGGGTAGAAATGGAAGATGTTTACATAACAAATCAAGGCTTAACTTTTCCAGATAACTGTGACAGACCAGGAGTATTTCTCAAGAGTATAATACCAAATGAGATTCTTTGAGACCATCAGCAAACTGTGATTTAACACATCCTGTTCTTACTTTGTGTTCATTTCTTTTAGATGGTGAAAGACAATGCGAATATAAAATGAGACTTATGGATATTGACAGTGAGCATTTAGGAATACCAGTACGTAAGCTATGTTATATCTTATTACTGGTTAGGTAAAGTGAAAAACTGTGACAAGGTCTTGCAAAGGTGGATAGAGAAGCTTTCTTAAGTCTGAGATTGCTGTTTTTAACAATACTGATTAATCTGAAGTCTGTAAATAACTTATTTATCTATTTACTCTCTCTCTCTCTCTTGGAATCAGTTTGATAAATGTTGACCTTTTCTACCCTTGTACATCTTGCCTAGTGAAAGCAGCAAACTGCAACAAGATGGATGCTTTAAAAAGGAATATTTAAGCAACTTTGGATACTGGAAGGGCTTCCTCAAATTCCATAATTATTTTGATCAAAACTAATTGAGAAAACTCATGAACATGTTTGGATAACAGTAGCTGCATTTTAGCTCTAACAGGATGGCAAAGGCATCATGCTTATGTTTTGACACCAAGTGGAATGGGATAGTTGGCACCTGGTGTCTGTATAAATGAACTGTTAGTGTCATTTGTATTTATTATCATTGAGACTAATGGGTTTAAAAAAACTTGTGCAGTATGTGACATTTGATAATATTTTGTCTAGGACCAGGAATATGATGCTGTTGTGACAATGCCATCGTCTGAATTTCAAAGAATATGTCGAGACCTGACACAGATTGGTGATTCAGTGACAATAAACTGTACTAAAGAAGGAGTTAAGTTCTCAGCCAAAGGGGACCTCGGTGAAGGAAAAGTTACTCTCTCACAAAACTCAACCGTTGATGTTGAAGAGGATCAGGTTGGTTACCAGCTAGTCATTCAGTGATGTGCTTCGTAATTAAAAACATAGGAATATGTATAGAGACAGTTATGAATCATGTTAATTTCATGCCAGTTCACTTGGTATAAGTAACTTAACGAGTTTATTTTCTATAAATACTATACTTTTTTGTTGTTCCAGGTTAAAATTCAGCTCAATGAACCAGTGGAACTTACTTTTGCTCTCAGATATTTAAACTTTTTCACCAAGGTAAGAAAAGGTTTTCTTGACAGAATGCATCCATGATAGGTATGGCTTTTTCCAAGACTTAAGTACATTTAGCATGAAAGAAGACAAGTTCAACCAGCCAGAAAAAACTAAGATTATACATAAAAATTCTTGGTAACAAAAACTTGAGATATTTGTGGAGAATTGTGAAAGGCTATATAGGAGATCCAATGAAGCATTTAAGACATCTAATGGTGCCGTTTTAAACTATGGCCAGTGATATTTGGTTTTGTTCTTGGGCAAGTCAGTCTGCTCTCACAGTTTCTCTCAACAGTTGGGAGTATTGGATAGATAACAGATAACTTGAATAAGCTGTAGTTGTCAAGCAAATCATTCTAATACATGTATGCAGGCTTAAGGGCTTTGTAATTTTATTTTGGAAGTATAAATAATGCTTCTCATCAAATATTTTTCAAAATAATATGACATGAAGATGAATGTGCCCAAACTGAATTGTTACTTTCTATGGCAGTACCAACTTTGTCCTCAACAGTTTTTCATTCTTCTTGTCCAGGCTACTCCATTATCCAGCACAGTTAAAATGTCACTGAAAGAGGATGTGCCCCTAGTCCTTGACTACAAAGTAGGAGAGTTAGGCAACCTCAAGTAAGTTTGCAAAGGAAGAATATTTCATTTGATTTAGCAAAAGGAAAGTATTATGAAGAGGCAAAGTAATACACTCCTTTCTTCATTGCTGTTAGCTTTGTCAAAATTTCACTTTTTTACTATTTTGGTAGTTGGTCCTGTTCTTTAACCAGTTTATTGTCTTCCTTTACCTGCTCAAAAGCTAATTATAATGAGATGAAATGATTTGAGGAAGAATCATTTGTGACGGGGTGGTTATTGCATGTTGTTGTCACCTTTGTCATTCCTCTTTGACCAATGTCATCTGTGTTTGCAGATATTACCTTGCTCCAAAGATTGACGAAGAAGAACCAGCAGCTACTGATGACTAAAGGCAGCTCACAAGCATGCAGCCCAAATGATGGGAATCTTATATTTTTTGTTGGAAATTATTTTACAAGTGCTGAACTGTACATAGGGACCGCTAATGAAGGGAACTTTGGTAGTGGGCTTCAGTATGGAAGAAATTCACCAGTTGTCATTGGTTGTTGAAAACCTTTTCAAGGTGTTTCAAACTAAGTATAGTGGTAAATTGAAATATATTAAACTTGTTATTCAGCTCAAATTCTTGCTTTTGTTCTTCCTTGTTGATGCTGTTAAGTACTGTCATGATGACACACTATATCATGTCACATATCGTTTCCTTTGTTCTTATGGCCTTAGTGTTTTATTGAGGGTGATACTGTAAGGAGAAAGTAGATACTGGTCATTCCTGGGGGCTAATAAGTTAACCCGTTCTATCCTAACATCAGGAAGCAAATTCTCCATACTATTTCCTTTCAATTTCCTAGGAGGGTGGGTAAGGATAATTTGTTTAATAACAAGCAAAAGCTTCTTTAGATGGTGATCATCTCCGTTATTCTCATGACCTTTATGTGTTATTCAGGGATGATATTGTAAAGAGAAATTAGATGCTGGTCACTCTAAGGGGGTTAAAGGGTGAAGACAGCTGAACATGAATAACTTACCTTATATGGGTCATTCAAAACACGGAATGTCAGAGTTCTGCTATATCAGTTACCATGCCTTGAAAGTCAAGAATTTTACATGTTCGTTTTCATATTATTCATGAACTAAATTCTTGGCACTTAGTTCTTGGAAAAAATCACAGGATGTCATTGAGGTTCATTATCTCAGAAGAGTATGAACCTTGTTTACTCTTAACCTTGAGATTAGAAACTGACAGTGATGATATTGGGGGCATCATGAATTTTGAAAATGAAACAAGCTTCAGGTTGGCGAAAGATGTTTGTAAATCTTTGTGGGAAATGGTTGGATTGAATTTCTAGACATGAGAATAACTAGAGAAATAACTGAGAAATAACCTCTAGCCCTACTTTACAAAATCACCATCATATTTCAAATCAATTTGCACAAATCACCTTTAATAATGTCATTAATAAGAACACTAGATATTCTTAAAATATTGCACATCAGGTTTTTATATTACACTAAATGAACATCATTTGATTGGTAAAGATGGTTATTAAAATAGATTGTACAAATCAGTGGCTACATAAATTAAATCTTACTGTTGTTCAAAGAAGCTACATAATTTTGCTGCGATATTTCAACTTTGTTCAAGACCCATGTTAATTAAGACTTCCCAACCTCTGCCATCCACAACTTCTTAGATATTTATTTATCTCATCTCTTACTTATTTTTTTGTTTCCTCTCGCCAGATGACACTTTTTTGAGGCACAAAAGGGCAACATTGCTAAATGTAGAGCCTTTAAAAAAAATAGCTGTTTTTCATATCAGTAATGTTCAGAATATTTAAAACACAGGATAGAACCATCAAAATTACAGTAATAGTTTCTATTGATCTAGACATGTTTAAGTTTTATCAATTTTATTATTTTGAGATACAGTATGCATATAACATCTTTCCAAAATCAACAATTAATCCCTCCACACATAATTTAAAACAAAGTTAAAAAGCTAAAATATATATATATATTAATATTATGAACAGGTGTAATTATGTTACTTTCCTCCTTCATCTATGAATGGGGATGTTTTCCTTTCATCATGTAACAGACTTCAACATTTAACTGGATCAATGGACCCTGAAGCCTGGTTTTAAAAGCTGGTGTTAGTAACTAGTGGAGAACCAAGAGCAAGCACAACAGCTTAGAGCTAGCTCACATTTCACCCTTTGACTCTTGGGATCTCATCTGGAGTTCTCCTTACTGTCTGTCATACAATGCATGTGATGTTACTTCAGAGAATTTGGTATCAGATCAACTAATAATCTAATTGATTATTTTTTTTTCTTCATTCCCATCATTTGTATGCTTGATATTGTATTCTTATTGTAGGGAGAAATGCTGTCTTGGTCACTCGTGGGATCAAAAGAGTTAAGCTAAGATACAAGTTTAAGGATAAGTAAATGAGCAAGCACAATTTCTTTTCCTTGCTTATATCTGTGCTCCCAATGAATTGAGTTGTGTTACATCAAAACAGCTGAGCACAACATAATGAAACTCTGTTTGTATGGTAATTCACAAGACAGTACATTATAGCATCTGATGAACCAAAGTGCTTGTTCTGTGCCTGTCAACCTGTACAAGCTTCACAGACAGGAACTCATATCTCACCTTATTTCTTCTTTTCATTTTACACAACATAATTCAAATGCTTGTACTTACATTCAAAACATAATTGTGAAAAGCAAAAGCCTTAAAATACAATCAGTAATATATCTATTATACAAGGATATCTGTTATACAAGGATACCCATAGCCTATATAATTGACATGTACAGTTATCATAATCCTGATGCTTAAGTTAACATTATTACCCAGTGATTTACAAGATAAATATGGGATGGTTGTGGCAGCACTGTTGAATCCACTATAGAATGCCTCTTCTAAGCAAGCTAGACTTAAGCTCTTTGTAGATGTTCAGTTGGTGTTCTGGCTTCAGAGATAAGACTTGTTGCAACACTTTGTGTGGTTGAGGTGCCCTGTTTACAGAAAATCACATAGTTGCTTGAGCAATTTCAAGATAATGTTAAGTTTGTAAAGTTCCCTTTCAAAGCTTACACTGTCACAAGTCACTACTTGGCCATCAAGGTCCAGTTGTTCAAAGGTTGATTAGCCCTAACCCGAGGTGGAGTCTCAGTCCAGGTTTCTTTATCACTTTAAGCAAAAGCCTTTACAGAATAATTTTCTCTACAATTTTTGAAACATCCAATAATCAAATTCTAGACAAAAAGAATTCAACTGAATTCTTGTTTAAAGCTTTCAGATCTGAGATCAGATTTCATACTAACACTGGATTATCTTAACCCAGCTTTGAACAATGCAGCCCCAAGTTAAGAAAAGTGATTGTGTTGTTGTGCAATCTGACATCAGTGTGCCTTTCATTCACATAAATCTGGCAAAGTAAGAGAATCAACAAAACTTAATCAGCCTAAGTGTGAACACCACATTCTCTTAACTCATTAATAAGGAAACCTATTGCTGCTGGTGGAAAGAATTTCAACCAAAGAATACTTCTAGTGACCAAGCAGTTTATCCACCATACCTTATAAATGTAGAATGGTAAACATAAACAAAAGTTGCCATGAGGAACTGACAGTCAAAGCGATCTACTAGACCTCCATGTCCAGGAATGGTATCACCAAAGTCCTGAAGGACAAAACAAAATTAAAACAAAACAAACCAAAAAAGAAAAAAAACACACACACAATATCTTACAAATGTAGCTTTCATCACTTCAGAGATTTCTTTATGGGGCAGTGTAACTGAAAATCAAATTGTCTCCACAAGCACTTTTTGAAAGTTGATCTGAAATTTATATCCCTAGCTGCTTCTTCAACAGATGACTGAAGTAATCAGTGTAATCCTGCCAAATGACATGCAGTGTTCACTGGCTCCCTGCTAAAATTCACAAACACAATCTTGGACAATAAGATGGATAACTGACATGTAACCAAACCACCAACGGGAGAGTGCTTTCTTAGTTCTTTCTGGTGAGTCACAGGATCATAGATTCTAACAATTCAAAGCAGTGCATGATGGGTGGCAGCATAAATGAAAATCAAATCACATGTAACTGAATGCAAATTTGCATTCCAATACCTGTAGACATTATCAATACAAAAGAAGGTGGACTCTCTGTATACCTTGACTTTAAAGGCCCTCTTGAATCCACTCGCAAAGAAACCACCAAATGGTGCAATCAATGAACTGAAGAGTGACAAAACAATGGAGTGGAACTGCATTGGATATAACCACACTTCATCTTGTGTCAAACCACCCTGAAACCAATATGTGGTATTTAAAACATAACTTTAACAATGAGCTGAGTATATGATGGGCTATGCAGAGGATAGAATTATGTCATTCTAATACGAGTCCACCTCCAACTCGAGCAACCAAGTTGCATCCAAACAGCAGCATCAGAAATTAAATTTTTCCAGCACATTTGAAGACAACTTTTGAACATCAAGGTTACTCTTTGGAATCATACATACAGTACATGGTACATGTAAGTGGTAACATTCCTGTATATAAAATTCTTAATGGCAAAGATAAGAATGAAACAGTTACTGCCACATACATGTACCTCTCCGTTAATAAGCTGTTCAGCTGACCTCACTTTGGAGAACACCAAAACGTTTCACTGAACAGAGAAACTGAGAACAATCTGTTTCTGAGGTTATCAAGAATTAAAACTTACAAATCCTAGAAGATATTTGACAGGAGCAGGAATGGTAAAGGCAGTCAATTTGTAAAGTGATGAAGGCTGACAAGTTGTCTTGAAGTCTGTTATTGAGCCACTGAACTGAAAGAAAGCAAAGCTTGCTTGTTTGAGACAAAGCAAATGAAAAGACTTCAGACAACAGTTACTTCTAAGATTTAAGGCTCAACATCATCTTTGCAAATCAAAGGATACCTCCCATAATTCCAAACTGGCTGGCTAAGCCACTTCATTTGCAAATAGGATTGAAGTGATTGCACTCAACTAGCAAACAAGTTAGGCAAATTTGGTATGAGATCAAGATAAGAACTTCTACCTGATAAGTTTGGGTATTCTCATTTGCCCTTTGCTGGATAATGTATGGGTATTATAGGGAGAAGTTTCATGTTTATCACTTCTGGGAGTTAAAGGGTTAAATACCTACGTTTATTATTCTGAATGAAAAATTTGAAAAACCTGTCTTACAAAAGATTATTTAAATTTAAAATTGATTGGTTTGGTCACAAAGAATGAAAGTTTTTAAACTTTTTTACCAACTTTACCAATGCAGTTATCATAAAGTTAAAGATTCATAAATCTGGACCTTTATTTTCTTAACTTACCACCACAGGGCAGATGAAATACTGATACTGACACATGAAATAAGAGATCTAAGGAGAAAGTAAAACAAATGACATCCAACACTGTTTCACAATCACAGAAAATGAAGTGAAAACATTATACAGGGACAGAGAGGGGAAAGTAAACATATTGGTAATGACACTGGTTTGCTCTTCTAGAACATTGCAATCTCAATTGCAGAGTGTCAACCAATCTACTTTGTCTTGGATTGCCCTTAAACTAGCATGCAGCAAAATTACTTACAAGCCATCCATATATCACTGTTGTCACTCCTCCACCAATGAAACCTTCCCATGTTTTCTTAGGTGATAGCTGAAAAGAAATGTGTAGTTTAAAGTTAATCATTAATGAATCACTTGAAAATGTATGTCAGAGTACAGGGTGTATGTACTCAGTGAAGTTTAGTGCTGGGTACAGAGTGACATAAAGAGAATGTGAATCCCTAAAGATAATTGCACTCATCAAACAGCTTGCTTCCACAGCATACATATGGCTAGCTCCTTACAAGAAATCATTTTTGCCAGATTAGAAGGCCTGGCTTGTGGGGGCATACCTACACTTTGGTGATAAAAAATACTGCCATGGTGGTGTTAAGAAACCAGTCACAAGAACTATGCAAGTATATGGGCTTCTGTGCTCAAATTTTAAACCACATTGAACTAGTATATAATTATATACCAGTAAACTATAAGTAGTTTATTATTGGTAATTGTACTACATAAAAGACTGGAAGAAACAACATACCTTGATAAGAGGAGTTCGGCCAAAAAAGAATCCTATTTTAATGATTGCACACATAAAAAGAAGCAATGTTACCATTATTAGGTGCACGACAAACATTAGGGATGCTCTGGCACTTAAAAAAATTTCGTGACACCCTAATTGCCAGCTGAGTGAGAATGATTCTGTTTTCAGCAACAAGGTGTCACCAAAATTATATTAAGTTCAGTGAGATTATATAAAGAAAGGAAAGTGTGAAACTAAATTAGAATAAAATGAGATGGAGTAAAACAAAAGAATGTACATAAATAAATGAACAGTTTTGCTGGAATGGAGTCTTTTGGAATGTTCAGAGTTGGTCTCTTTCTCTTGAAACATCATGTTTTAATCTCACTACTTTTTATTATGAAAGGTTTTTCTAAATCTTTCATTATCAGATTTTGTTTTCCAGAGTCTAAAAATTTAAAGCTAATCAAATTTCAAAGTGCAAACTTGACTTCATGAAACAAAGAAACATGGCAAGGCATTCCTAAAGGACGTACAAACAGAAGGGAAAGGTAGGCAAAAGATGTTAAGCACAACCAGCAACTTACCAAAAATATATGCAAAGATGTCATTGCAAATCACCATGCTGACAGGTAAAAAGAACCTGCAAACACAGCAGAGAGAAAAATAGTAATTAACATTACCATACCTGAGATCTGAAAGCTAATTTTCCAATCACTTATTACTAGTGCCAGCACCACACATTTTTTCTAGTCCTAATAATTTTGTGTGATGATATCTCCCAGGTGATACATTCTTTACCCTTTCATTTAACCCTTTAACTCCCAGATCAAATTTGTAATTCTCTTTACTGCCAACCATACAATTTCTATTAAGTTAGCTCAGAGAAGTTAGTATTGGATTAACTAATTATCCCTAAATTGATATTTTTCTTTATTCTCATCACTTATCTGGTTGATATTGTATTGATATTGTAAGGAGAAATTCTGTCTTGGTCACTCATGGGAGTTAAAGGGTTAACTTCCAACATGGGATTTTTAATTCTCCTCTATAGCTGCTACAAATTTCCTTGTACTCCAGATATGAGAACTTGGTGTTAGATCAAGATATTGACTTCTAATTGACAAGTTTGTGTATTCTCATAACCTTTTTGCTGAGAAAGTAAGGATATTATAGGGAGAAGTTACATGTTCATCACTTCTGGGAGTTAAAGGGTTAAAAGCAATATATATCATCCCAAGCCAATAATTTACTCACCAAATGAGTCCTTCAAACAAGGTCTGCATAATGAGGTGTGATTGGGTGACAACAATCAGCAAAGTCACATGGGTCCAGCCAAACTAAAAGCAAAGAGGACAATTCACTATTTGCATTAGAACTCAATGCATCTTTCAATCAGACTAACAGATTACACAAAAATGTTCTGTCTTCATTGATAGAAAAAGCACTGCCTTTCTTTTGTTTCGGTTTCACAAAACAGTTCAACATTATTCAGAATACTTCTTGTACACTCAACAATGTTTGCATGCAGTGCTTGTTTCAATCTATCTTTGGAAATCTAACTGAAAAGGCTCTGCTGGTTTTTTACATATACTCTCTCAAAAAGAACACACACAACAAAGCCTACATGATTTTTCTTCTTGAAACTTTGGATAGAAATGCTACATGTACATTTAATTTCATAGAAGTCACAAAAAATAATTACAAACATAATTACCAATGAAAATTGCACTTTGTAGTGTTCCTTTTTTAAATTTAACACAAATAAAATGAAACCTGCAAGGAAACAAAACTTGTTCAATCTTTTTTTGGCATATTACACAACATATTACGCTTAGAGCCCCCTAAGGGTAAGATGCTGAAGACATTTGGAGATCGGTCTTTTCAGGCAGCAGCACCATACTTATGGAAATTAGAATGATTAAGTGTTTGGATAAATTTAAAAAAGCTATTAAAACGTTTCTGTTTAATGAAGCTTTTTGTGATCATTAACTCAGATATATTACATTAAAATAATTTATTCTTATATATTTAGCTACCATTACTATTGTAAATTTTATTTAGATATATAAGGTTTTTAATTTTTATTCAGTGTAAAGCACTATTGATCTGTACATGTAAATAGGGCTATACAACTAATAAATTATTATTATTATTATTATTATTATTATTATTATATTCAATGTATCAGTGACTTCATATTATTTTATGCACAAGTGTTAGGTTTGAAGCACATTTGTAATCTTGACAGCACCTAAGAAATATAGGCTGACAGTGTAAAAGCAATTTATCATATCTCTTAGCTAGTACAAGTGCTATGATTGGTCAATTTAGCGTGCAGTATTTCATTGCACAGCCTCCTAAAATCAATAGTTTGTTTGAACTGAAATATTTCCCCTCTATTTGGACCCAGAGATGTAATTAAGGAGCCTTATGTTTTCCGCTAGGATTTGTGGCACATTCAAACCCAAGTGGAAAAACTTGGTCTGTAACTTACAACCTATGGACCTCAAAATCCATTAGTAAGAGCTATGTCTGCCAGTATAGTACACAAAACTACTCTGCAACCTTATAATCATTTTTGTTCAACTGCTTTACTGTGCCGTTTGACAGGAGTTCCACCAGAAAAAATCAGTATCTTTTGGCTCATACATGTACATAGGGAATAATACACATGTCTCCATGGATATGGAATTTCTCTTTGAGCATTCAACTTGATACCCCCAGGTGTGCTTGCAGCAAACAAGTGAGAAATTGAGTTGAACATGAGGATAGAAATTATTTAAGTACAAGTATTCATAGATTGTTTTGTTTATTATATAAACACCACTGGCCCCTTTTGACAAGAAAATTCAACAAATGACTTTGAATTGAGAATTGTGGATGCTTTGCCACTCATTTAGCAACCAAGCAGAGTGGTGCAAAGGGCTAGTGATGTGTCAGAAGCTAATTGGCAATATCAAACACACAAAAAAATTTCGTTATTTTACAAGAGCGTGGTTACAGCTTTTTTAGATTTGGAATTCCTTGTTAAACACCACAGTTTACACAGAATAATGTGATAATGTGCTGTTACTTCTTTAACGGTACTCACCAATTAAGTAAAGTGAATACGAAATCAACCTGTGATAAGTTATGTACGTTTTCACCACTTCCTGCAAAAAAAAAAAAAATTAAAAATGACCAAACAAAACAGAAAACGAAAAAAAGAAAAAGAAAAAGAAAAAGAAACAATAGAAATGGTCGATGATTCATTGTGGTAAATATAACTTTTACAGGCTAAAATAAATCTGAAAATAAGTAACATTTAAGGTGTAACACTTACCTCTGATGCATCATCCACTTGTGGGTCTGGATTACCATTAAAATAATCTGTTATGCTCTCGCCATAAAAGAAAAAGTTTGCACATCCAAGAAAATACCTGTAAAAAAAAAAAATGAAAAACATGACAAAATTACTTTCAGCTCCTGAAAATTTCCATCTGGAATGGATAATAAGAGGATCAGTAGGATCAATCTGTCACTGTATACTAGTTCCTACAACACAATCTGTAAACTGCAAATCATCCTACCAACTTAGGGATCTGAACCATGGAAGGTTGTATTTTTCATATTTCTTGTGTCCAATAGAGATGATCTCATGGTAACACTTGATTTGAATACACTGGATCTGCAAAATGAAAGGAGCAGCAGAATAGTTGTCTTCTAGAGAATAGTTGTCCACCTCAGGGGTTAAGTGTCATAGAACTGTTTGCCCCTGATGGCCAGAACTCATCTAGCTTTCATTGACAGAAAGTGTAAGGGAACATTGCTTCTCTCCCCTTCCCTACAGGGTATACTAAACAGTGGCATGTTACCACCCCCAGCATTTTGTTATTATTTTGAGTGGCTCAAAACTTGACTCAAATGTCTTGAAACTCAAAGCCTCACTCCCTTAAGTTTTCAAGAATTGAGGACTGAGCTTTGAGGGGGTGTCAAATTACTTTTCAGTAGTACTGTTTTCATACAGTTTGATGGTACCTGATAAAACCCCTTGGAGGAGAGAAGCATCCTAAGTGTATTTTAAAGCATCTTGCCCAAGAATGCATGACAGTAACCATGATTGGTGTAAAATGTGATCTGGTAACAGTTCTCCAAAGGACAAACAATGTTGGCCAACAGGTAAGTCACTATCCAGACAATAAAAGGTAACAAATTGCACTGCGCTGTCTGATGGATGGAGTGAATACCATTATCCACTCTTGGAAAACCAGGGACCTGGAGTGCAACATGCCAACCAATACACCACAGAATCTCCTGACATGATTGTATAAACTAAAAACCATATCCACATGATGCCTTTTCATTCTGCACATTGCAGATATCCACCCTTTCTCTCACACTTTTCTTTTTGTTTACAATGTATGTGAAAACAGAGTTCTTAAAAACTTACCAACAGGATTAAAGCAAAAGGACCTAAGTAAACTATAACAGAGAAACCTCCAATCATCACCAAAGAGAACATTCCTCTGATCCACCAGTTCCTCCATCTGGAAGACAAGAAAACAATGTTAACTGCTCTTTAAGACAAAACAAAGCACCACTGTATACTTACATGAGATAAAAAATCTAACTGATGTTTTTCCCTTGTGGCTAACAAATCTTCTTTGGAAAGTAGGTTAGAGATTTAGATGCTATAAGCAACATACTGAAAATTACTTCAGTTGAACAAAGCAACATGAAAATTATGTGGCTCATGAATTCTGCCCTTATTCCCCCTCCCTTCCAAGCATTGAATGTTTTAAGGGGGAGTCCTAGTGCTGAACCTATTTTTTGGTCACAAAGGGGTATTTTCAAGGACTTTCCCTCAACTTTATCCCAAGTTTAAGAGGTCACTTTGATCTCTGGCTATGTTATCTGGTATTCAGTCTGTTTCCAACTACATAAACATTATGAAGTTTTAACTCAAGCAAAGTCACTGATGCTTGTTTTTTCCAGCTTTAACAGTTCATCTGGGTTGCCTTCTCCACAGCAGAAAGAGTTTAAGACCAAAAAAGCCAGCAAAACCTTGTAAAATAACTAGCCAAGCTTGCTGACTGCCAGTTCTTACACTAACTGCAACAAACATTTGTCTGTAAGATGTGTTCTGTATATTTCTTGATAAGCAAAACATAAATTACAGTGACATATCTATAGAGAGCACCTTACACTGCTAGTTCTTACACTCATTATAACAAACATTTGTCTGTAAGATGTGTTGTGTATACTTCTTGATAAACAATACGTAAACTACAAGGACATATATGGAGAGAGCACCTTGCAATGCTAGTTCTTACACTCACTGCAGACAAACATTCATCTGTAAGATTTGTCCTGTATACTTCTCAATAATCAATACATACACTAGGAAGACATACATAGAGAGCAGCTCACCGTGGATTCAAGCTTGCTAACATGCTTGGTTGTTCTACAGGAGCTGAGTCTGAGTAAGTTTCTCTTTTATCTTCTGAGGGCGGTATTTCCTATCAAAACAAAACATAACTAAATCTTTAATTTGTCATAAAGGGAATTTTAGATCTGGTAACAGTTATGTGCAAATAGCTGCACCCCAAGCGACTCTGTATAATTTCTCCAGATAAAATTGTAGTGAAAGCCACAAATTTCACAACATTACTTTGTTACTTACTGCACTAATTTTGCATGAAAATCTTTTAAGACCTAGTTTATCATATATAACTTAACCCTTTCCATTAAGTCTCACAGAGTGCGAAGCCTTAAGACAATAAGCACAACTCATATTTGACTGTGATAGTTGGACAGCCACTTTACCAATGACAAAGCCAGTTTGCAAAGTGAAAATTTGTCCTGTGCCTCATCCATTTTCTCCTGTTTGTCACTTTCTTTTAAGAATGAATAAATAATTTCGTGTAATCACTTCATATTTTTAGTGCACCAAATGGTGAACATTAATCAAGTTGAGGCTTAGGACAGTGTGCTTACATAAGTAGAATTCTAGAAAAATACAATTATTGACCTGTTCCTCTTGATTTCTGTTTTCCTCTTTCTGCAAATAACAAAAGAAAGAGGGAAAGTTCCTTACATGTTTAATTCTAGGTCTACTGATGTTATACATGTATACATAAATTGCTATCTAGCCATTATATCATTCTCACAAGAGAAGAATTATAGAGGCTTTCTTAGTGATATAGTTCTAATATTTGTTTGTGTGAAAATGATCCTTATCTAGTTGGAATATTCTTGCCTCTGCCTTACTTTCATAGACATACCTCCAGAGGTTTCCTCCAGGAATAAAGAAGCTCAGAAAATAGTCAGAGAATTAATTCTAAATTATCTGACTGTTATTTAAATTTTCTCATAAAAGCAAAATTCATCAAAGTGAAAGTTCAAATTTTGTGTAACTCACATCTTCTTAAGTCTTAAGTCAGAAAAAAGTCTACTGTTTATAAAAGATACTGAATGTAGAAGCCTTTGGATGGAAAACAACAGATATTTTGCATTGTTAAACAAGCTTTTCAAAACCTAACAGCTATTTCAAAGTTTTGTTTCTCATTTATGTATACCTGCATCAGAAATCACCAACAAACACTGCCATTTCTACTGTCACTGCTATCCTTTTCAGACACAAAAACTCTCCTTAAACAACTGCTTGAATATTTGCATACCATATGGTCTCTAATAAAAAAAAATTTTCTTCTTTCTATCTCTTCCTGTGTGCACATCCTCTAGCTACATTTTTTAATTTCTGTTATTGTGCATATCATGGATAAAAAATATATTTTTCTTGATATGATGATACAATGATAGAAAGAAAACTGAGAAGTGGAGAGGCTGATTTCATTTCCTTCACCAAAAAAAATTTTTTTTAAAGGTTGCAGGCAATTATATACTTGACTTAGTACACTTTTGCCTTGCAGTTGATTTAATTTTGCTGTATTTGTAAATCAATGAGAGCACCTGTGAAATAAGAACAGGCACATCATTTTCGTTTTTGAAGCTTTTATTAACAAGAAACTATCGTCAACCACGCTCCTCTTCACGATGAAAGTAAACATCGAATATTAGCTGTCAAAAAATGAAAACTTAATATGAGATTCGGTTGAAACAAAAGACAATTCTAAGAAAACGTAAGTAAACAAAGGCGCCCGACCAATAGAAACGTTGGTTGTTTGAAAAATATGACCGATCTGCATATCATAAGATTCGCGATTATGATCAAAGTGCAGTTTTGCAGTGCCGTAAGAACGGAATCAACAATTTTTTATAGAGACACTAAAAATATCCTTACGATATGACAATGTTTTATTTAATTGACAGTTTGGCATAATAAGATTTGTAATACGGTAGCCTCGCGTGATCCGAAAAATACTGGTCGACCATTGAACGTAGCAAAACATTGTGGAGAATGCTTGAGAATCAACAACGTCTTTTGCAGTAAATTTGCATTTCTGCGGGAATGAAAAAAGCAGCAACACCGCAAGATTTTGCAAAAAAAAGCGGTGGTAGTAATTAAACACCAATGCTCGAATAAAAGTTAAAATGCTGACCACAGCACGATTTGTGCCGAATGAGAAATAGTTTAGTATATGATTTCTGGAAACATAACATCGATCGCCTGATCTGGTGAATCTTACAGCCCACGCAGTAATACAAAGAAGAAACTCGAGCAAATAATGCTATTAAGAAAAGGTTAGGTAGAGGTAGTTTGACAGCCTCACAATCAGCTAGCAAAAAACATTGCAGAATCCAAGACACCAATCTTGACAAAAACTTTACCTTCAGACCATCAAAGAGATCTTCGCTCGATCCATTCGCAGTTAAGCCTTCTTTTCCACGTCTTCTTGTCGCACTTACTTCTGTGGACATTTCCCAAGGAGATTATCTCCTGTGTGAGGTCGATTTTCACCACAAGCGCTGGAAGTTGAGCTCCATCAAAGGTGAACTTTATAGCGGCTAGGTTTTGATCAGTTGTCTTTCAATGGCGAGGTACATGGCTCGCTAAGATCTCTGGGAGCTAGGGCTTGCCTCTGAAGGAGCCAAACTGGTGGCGAAACCGCCTCGATCTGAGGGTACTTTGTCTATAAGTAAACAATGATAAAGAGTCCTCATAGAAAGGTGCAACTGTAAATTAAAAGTGTTCATTTCATTTGAAAATTGAAGCTGCCTCATAGATTTGAGTTAATTCGACCAGAATTTTTTTTTCATTTGTGTTTTTTTTTTATCACAGGCTTGAATTGATTGTAATCGGCGTAAGTCATAATCCTCAGCCATTATCTGCATCTATCCTATTCCCAGGCCTTCCTCTACATTTTTCTGATATCAACAGCGCTTTTGAAAAAGGCATGGAAACCTTTTTTTTTTTTTTTTTTTTTTTTTTCCAGAAAACTTGGCATCTCCAACAGAAAGGACAATATGTCTTTGTTATTCTTTGACTGATGCAGAAGGTTAGCATTTAGAGATGCGATTCAGAAATTTTGCCCATTTCCGGTTTCTTTTTTTTTTTTTTTTTGGTGGCCTGAAGGTCGAGTCTCTTTGCTCTTAAAAAAATACTGTACATGTCTTTCAATTCATGCGGTCGAAATATTATGTCATACGGGCGGATGAAGAAGTGTTTTGCTCCAGATTCTGGGATGCAAGATAGCGACCTGTGAGAAAGTCCGCATTGCAGGGAGATATTGTGGAGGCCGGTCCTGGCTGTGCACGGCAACTTCTGAGCAACTTCTGGCGTTTCGAATTTTTGTATTTCTGAGCAATTTTTGCGCACAATATTGCTTTAGAGCACATATTTAGCACGGAAAGTCAACGATTTATTCAAATTTCTCAAATTTTTATCAACCTTGTGAACACATAGCCTGTCACCCTCGACGAGCTTTGCTTAAGAAAAAAATCCTCACCAGGGAAGTGTAAAATGATCCATAGGCTTGTCAAAGTAAAGCGAGAGGACTCAATTGGCAAGTGAAAGAGATGTGTTTGGCTTCAAACGTGAAATTAATCATGATGTAAACTGGCGCGTTGTGAGTGTTACGTAAATTTAGGACTCTTTCGCACAATTTTCTCTTTGGAAATAACCACGCAATCGTAGCATGAATGGTAATTTCAACAATTGCAGAATAATTCAGCGACAAGAACGGCTTAGCTAAGCCTTAACGTGTCGTGACATTTGAGGATAGCTTGTTTATACTGCGTGAAGTGACTATCAAGTAACAGTTGTTGTACCCGGCATGTTCTGTCCGTGATCCACAGATTTATTGGTTTGTGATACCATGAGCAATTATCTGTTCAGCCACGAAAAATACCACAGTTAAATTGTGTCAGCTAACTAATATTTCACTCTGATCAGATGGAGGCTTGTGGGCCGCTCGGCAAGGACCTTGTTTTCAAGAGAGATTTCGACTGTATTATGTTCTGGAGATACAGGAGTATCATTTAACGTTTGAAACGATTGGGTTGATATTTTGATCATACATTTCTGGCGTCTACACTAAGGAGCTCTTTTAGTATGAAATATCATTTCAGTAATTTTTGTGCAAAGGTGAGAGTGTATTCGGCGGTATCTGCAAAAAGGGATAATCGTTTTTTCTTTAAGGTAATGTTTTAACTGTGTATTACTTCGCGATAAAGAAATTCTACTCGCTGGCCTGACCAATTTGGCGTTAAGGTAAGGTTGTGTGCCTAATGATCTCTGTCTAGAGCGATATAATAACGCACTATAAATCTCGCCCACATTTGCAAGCAGTTTTCTTGACTGATGCCAGTAATTATACTGAAAAAATGAAAAACAAAACATTAAACAACGTTCATATAAAAATATCAAGAAATTCAGGTCGCAACTTTTTGAATTTTTGGCAATTTTTTTAGCATTTACCAGCATTTTACGGGCACAATCGGGACAGGCCTAACCGTCAAACGTCTGCGCATGTGCGGAAGTTGTCGTGGCTAGGGTCGTCGCTCGGATCGTGGCCTGGTGAATGGACTGCTTTCTGGCTGCCAGAACTAACTTGTTTTACAAGAATAATAGAAAACCATGCAAGCCAGGAAGTCACGGTGTTTCAAAAGCATCTAACCTTTTTGATAGAGCTCAAACGAAATGGTAAATTAACAGGTTACAGGTAGTCGGATGGGATTTATGTTCGAGAAGACTCAAGTTTTCCTTTTTCTTACTTTTGTTACTTTCACAGACTTCTATGGACGTTTCCATTTTTTTTCACACAGTCTTAATTATAACCTGCACATGAACCTATTTTCGAAAAAATGTTGTTTCGAAAATCGAAACGCCAGTACACTTCATATGTAAAAGTCATAGCCGAAAATAAAATGGCAAATATATAACATCTGTCTTCATCAGTTTGCCAGCCGCACTCAAACTTAAAAAATCTCAAAAATATTTGTATAGGATGCTTTACACATTTTTCTTATTTCCGATCAACTTTCGGCCTTTTCAGACGGTCAGTCAAGTTTATTGTTATTTTTTGGCAGCACAGTACTCTATATGACGCGAATACCAAAATCACCGGCAGGTGTATAACTTATGATATACACACGACTTCAAACTGATTAAATGGTTCACAGTCGATTGGCCACTTAGCAATATTTAGTTTATAACAACTGTATTGGACTGACAGCTCATATCGCAGGAAACAGGGGAGAAAAGGTTTGTTTTACTACGTAGAATTGGACACGATTTCAAAATAAATATAAATTATCGACGATTATAGCTTATAATGATCCCTCGTATGTAAAATGTTATTCTGCTCTTAGATAAATTTCCTCGTCATCATAATATCAACCGAATCTTGATAACTCAAACCCTCGATATTTCGAACCTCGTGCTAACTCGAACCAAATTCGATTTCCCCCAGATTTCCGCCATACAATGACAGTAATTTTTTCCTTCGTACCCCGGACCCTCGATGCTTAGTGCTAATGAAAAATATTTTTCCTTGTAAGTTCCACGAGTTCCAGAGATTCCGCGCGTCCACAGTCAATAATTTCATAGACTGATCTTGGCCCAATTGGACTATTTTTGGGAGTCTGTGATTGCCCTACTCAACTTAGGTTAACATATATTCGCTGTGCATTAAGGCAGTTCGAGTAAACAAAATATTCAGTTGTTTACGGTGCCTTAAATATTCTTTTAAAATCTCAAGTGACTAAATGTTGCCGGCCAAAGCTTCAGATAATTTTACCAGTTTTTCCCAGTAACTGCCCATTGTCCAATGTCCAACATCAACACATGCTCTTAAAATGAAAGTCAAACAATGTTACTATGTTTTATTGTTTGCCTGATATTGCCTATCCGCTCTCAATGAGCTAATCCCTTCAAATTTATTTCCTTGACGTCACTAACACTCATACTTTAGGTCTACCTGCGCACGAAAGCAATGAACTGTGAGAGGATAATTTTACGGAAAGAACCAAAAATCTCCGGGATTAAAATTGGAAGTTTATCGGAGTTGCTTGAGGTCTAGTTCATCCCCGGAGCCACCAACAAAAGTAAGTCACACTTCCAGAATGCATAACTGTCAAATTTTAGGTTTTCTTTCGGCTTATATACGATAAAAGTGCATGATCTTGCTAGATATGACACATCCTAGCTCTCGTTCTCATATATGCTTCAATAGACGGGTTCGCCTTTTGTGTTTAGATATGTCTTGTCTCCCAAATCAGATTTTTCAGATAGTTAAATTTGGTCTATTCGGGCATCCTTTCGTGAACTCAGCTATGAATGACGAATCGCACAGTTGTTACTACCAAACTGAACTCTATTGGGTGGCAACGGGGATGTAAACAAGCTAGCTGACCTAGCGAACTCTAACCTGTGATCAGGCGTTCTTTTCTTCTAGCATATCTATTTCGCTCCCCAAAAATATAGAACGCCTGGTCGCCTGTTAGGCGAATCCCAGCTCACAGCACTCTTTATTAACGTGACTTGGAAAACGTTTCTGTTTAGAAAATCTTTACATTGGAATTTACCTTGAGGACGGATTTTACACAAAATTAGTTATCGAGAATTGTGACAACTAAAATTAAACCATCGTTTTTCATAATCGCAACGTAGAAGCAACAGACATGCCGACTATTACATCATGATATGATTCTGATCATGTATATCCTTGTCAGTAGTTTGTTACGAAAGCAAATCTCCACTTTTTTTCATTTGTATTTAGCTGTTTCTTTCTTTCACGCTCAGGTGATTTGATAAACGCGCTACAAGTCGATACAAGTATTTTAAGCAACACAATGGCTTCATTCATCAGCGACGGTACTCAAAATAGAGCCAGCGATGAGGTGTGGATGCGGGCTCCGGCGTCACAATGTATCCCTTGGCTTGTTGTGATCAGCGTCGAGTCTTTGGTCATAACCGTCCTTAATATCATCACCATTATTGTATTTGTGAAGCAGCGCCGGCTACAGCGGCGGAGTACATACTTGATCATCCATCTGGCGGTAGTCGATCTCTTAGTTGGTGTTTCGGGACCTGCTTGGATTGCCAGATCGGGAGGTACCTGGTGTGATCTGTGGGGTGACAACAGTCCGACTGATGAAGAATCATGGATAAGAATACAAAAAGTTTTCGAGTCGATATTCTTATTAGTGTCTCTTTGTAATCTCTCCGTTATTTCTTTAGAACGAGTTAACGCCACATTTTTTCCATTTAGGCATCGCTTCGTGAAAAACTGGGTTTATGGAGTGGTAATAGCAGTAACTTGGATTGTACCTTTAGCACTAAGAGCAACACAAATAGCAAGCCGTAATTTCAGTCTTAATTTCGATTTTATCGTGATACTTTCATACTTTGCAGTTCAACTATTTGTAATTTGTCTTTCCTATCTTTCTATCTATATTAAAGTTCGTTTCAATCGTCATCCTCAACAGCATGGTGCAGCCGGTCTGAGGGAGAGAAAATTGACGAGTACATTGTTTCTTGTCACTCTTGGATCATTGTTCACTATTCTGCCCACTGTAATAAGATTAAGTATCATTGTGTTTGATAT